CCGTAGACATATGGTTCCCCTCTTCCTCTCTAGCATCCAGATCTGAATTTATACAATCATGGACACACTTTAAAGACCCTTCCGATGCAATGGCAGACTTCAAGGAAAAGACAGTGTAGTGTAGGTTTTTAATATGTTATTTTCATCTCTGTTTTGTCAATTGCCTTTTTCTTGCATTTTGGTCAATTTAACAATCGCAAGATAAACTTTTTGAAATTGTAGGCTTCTACTTCAGTGGATTAGAGTGAATGGGCATCTCAGTTGGAGTAGAGAAAGGGGTCTTACTGGAAGGCAAAATGAAAACGGCCCGTCAAAATTTCAGATCTAAGATTTCAGGTAGTCTCCAACATATTTTCATACTAGAATTCTTCCTTCCACGATTTGATTTTTCCCCTGCTTTGTCGTATTGTTCAATCTCCTCTCTTTACCACTCTCGTTTCCATTCCTCCGTACCTCTCGTTGCCCAGCCCTAATTGTCCCCTTTTGTTGTCCCAAACCCCCTGTATTACACAATTTTTGAATGCTAAACACTGATTATGACATGTTCTAAGATTTAAGCCTTATTTATTCGGTGACTTACTGAAATTTTGGATGATTTTCTACTCCGGTTGGTGATTAGGATTGATGGTGTAGGTGATTTTGCTTGTCTTTGGACTGGTTTGTGGTGGTTCATCATTATCTATTGTTTTGTGTTTCGGTGTTGTAGGACCATTCATGAAGCATATTTTTTCCCTTCCTTTGGGTTAATTCTAATGCTTTCATTGCGTTGCATGTGATTCTCTTAGGTGATAACTTCTCCTCCTCCTGAATGTTTGTGCAAGTTTTAATGCCTTTGGTCTTTTTGCTTTTTGATGATTTAATTTTTTGTTTATTTCTTAACTAAAGATCTAGTAAATAGAATATAGTTTTCTTTTAAGTGAACATACTGGACAAAAATAATAAGGATTAAAAAAAAGGATCTCATTGGCTATTTGCACCTTGGAAGCCTTGTTGGTAGTAAAATCTAATTCCTTTTTCCAAGTTCATTTCATGCTTTCCAAGTCCGAAAGTTACGCTTGTTTAGCTACTTCTCAATTTTGAATGAGTGAATGCATTTACTATTTTTGTGTTGAAGGAAACAGCCTTGGCGTTACTTTACGATTGGTTTCATGTCAATTGGGGTCATAATGATTTCTTCATCTTAAGTACATGCTACCAACTTGTAGTTTGAAATTCAGTTCACATTTTGTACTTGTGGTTAATAAAAGTGATCCTTAGCATTTCTTTTAAAGTCCCTCATTTTCATTTCTTTTCATGCAACAATATGAGGATCAATGTCTTAGTTGATATATGTAGGCTAATGCAGGTTTAATTTATCTAACTACCAATGTAAATTTCTGTTTAATAATTTTTTTTCCATTGGACTCTGTAGGTTGATGGTGGATTGTAGTAAACCTGGCTATGAAGCTCTTACAAGCTACTTCGATTATGGACTTCGCCAATTAATGCAAACATGATACTCATTGTATATCGGACATCGTCTATCTTAGCATTTGTTATCCCTGGCAATTTTGGTTGTACATATTAAAGCCTAATTAGGATTTGATTTGAGTATCTTTGTGCTTTGTACTGTTGATAGTATTGGTTGTAATATATTGTTGCTCGTTTTGTATTTGTAATGACAAATTGGTTTGTTATTTCGTATAAAATTTTTGCTATATCTCAATATTGACATTAATGATACCTCTTGCTAGAAAAATGTTGAAAAAAAAAGTAGCAACTACAGTCACAAAGCTGCTTTTGGCAACTTTCTTGCAAGAAAATCATTTAGTTGCATTTGATCGTCTTTGGTAAGGGGTCGATGGTTTCTAATTAAAGAAGTTACTTGTTTATGACAAAATGGGCACTCTTTTCTTATAATGGAAAAAAGTCATAAAGAATTGGTGTTTTATTGAAAAATGAGTTTATTTTTATTTTATCCGATAAACAAATTTCTTTTTGCTTTCAAAATAGGTACTCTGTTTTTATAATGGAGGAAAATCATAAAGAGCTGGTGTTTTATTGAAAAAATGGGTTTATTTTTATTTTATCTGATAAATAAATTTGTTTATGGAAAAATGGGTACTCTGTTCTTAAAATGGAGGAAAGTCATAAAGAGCTGATCTTTTATTGAAAAACGGGTTTATTTTTTTTTATCCAATAAATAAATTTATTTATGAGAAAATGGGTACTCTGTTCTTATAATGGAGAAAGCCATAAAGAGCTGGTCTTTTATTAGAAAATGAATTTATTTTTATTTTATTCAATAAATAAATTTAGTTATAAAAAATGGGTACCATGTTCTTATAATAGAGGAAAGCCATAAAGAGCAGGTCTTTTATGGGAAAGTGATACTTTACACAAAGTGACGCGATTTGGTTAATGAAATAATCCCAAATAAAAATTTAGAATGAATTTATTTATTTTGAAAGTTGTATAACGGTCGTTAAAACTCCAGAGATTGGCAAAAAAATTTTGGGGTTGCAGAAAGACAGCGCGAAGAAGGAGAAGAATTGAGCCTTTGTTCGTTGCAATTGTTCCATTAAAAATGGCTCTATTCGGTTTTACCCATTTTTTGTTGGGTAAAATCGTTGGTTCTAACGATCAATTCTTCATTTCCCGTCAATTGTCCTTCATTGGCCAAAATTACGAAACTTTGAGGATGCAATATGTTTGGGGTGAAACTTTGAGGATGAAATTGGCCAACCACCCAAACTTTGAAGATGAAAAGTTCATTTTTTCCTATAAGATATTTAATCAAATGTTATTTCTTATTTTAATTTTAGTTATGACTATACTACATATTTATTAAATAGACATACTTTTATAATTAAACTTAATATTTGATATTTTAGGATGCCATATATTTAAATAGATGAAAATTATTTTGAACATAACATATTAAAATAATTTTATTTATCAATCATTTTGGCCCTCCCTCCAAGAAAAAAATCTTGGCTTCGTCACTGCCTAGGAGGAAATTAGGGTCTATTGCTAACAAAAGATTGTGAAAATTTACCTTTACATCCTAATTATTTGGAAAAATCTAATGAACAAATTTTGCAAAAGAAACCTTGTTTCTTACCAACAAATTAAGTAACTAATAAAATCACCTTTAATATTGCTTTAACATATTTAATTTATGTTAAATACAAATTTTACCAGTTTCTCTTTTGTAAAAATATAAGTGTATCACTTTTTCAATTTTAGTTACAAACATTTATGTATTTTACATAAATGTAGTGATTCAGAGTAAAATGCCCATAAATAGCTAGTATTTTGCTGATGTAATGCAAAAAAATCCATAAAGAGCTGGTATGTTTTGGGCGCAATCTTTTTTACTTTCACATATTTAAAATTTGTTAAATGCAAAATCTACTAGTTTTCCTTTCGTAAAAGTATACTTTTTCAATTTTAGTTACAAATATTTATGTATTTTACATAAATGTAATGATTCAGAGTAAAATATCCATAAATAGTTAGTATTTTGTTGATGTAATGCAAAAAACTCATAAAGAGCTGGTATGTTATGGCAAAACTTTTTTACTTTCACATATTTAAAATTTGTTAAATACAAAATTTACTAGTTTTCCTTTCGTAAAAATATTAGTGTAACACTTGTTCAATTTTATTACAAGCATTTATATATTTATATGAATATAATGATTCAGAATAAAATGCCCATAAATAGCTAGTATTTTGTTGATGTAATGCAAAAAACCATAAAGAGCAGGTATGTTATGGGCAATATGTTTTTTACTTTCACAAAAATCAGTTTATGTTAAATACAGGACAATCAATTTTCCTTTCGTAAAAATATTAGTGTAACAGTTTTTCAATTTTAGTTACAATATTTATGTATTTTACATAAATGTAATGATTCAGAGTAAAATGTCCATAAATAGATAGTATTTTGTTGATGTATGCCATAATCGGGAGAATCAATTGGAATTCACTGTTCCTCAGCCTTGGACACTTTATGTAAAGTAGAGATATTTGTATTCAATTAAATGTGAAACGAGCAATAGTCTATCTTCCCACAAACTCAGTTTTCACAAATGTTAATATTTTACTACTATAACAATTAAAACTCAATTTTAATAATTCAAATTTAGTAGATTAGATAAAAGTTGTTAGAAAAGTGAGAAATCAAAAGAAAAATAACTCAAATTTATTAAAAGTCCAAAAAGGATTCAGTACTTCAGCTATAGAAGTCCTCCAAATGACTATATATTAGAACGTCTATAAATCAAAATAAATTAGATAATTAAAAAACTTAATATTTCAAACATTTATTTTCTTAAGTTTCACTTCTTAAAGGCTCTCAACTCCTTATTCATTAATGACCATATGTTGTTTCAAAGCCAAGCATGGCTGGTGTGTTAGTACTGCTTACGCTTCCTTTTCGTGTTTTATTCTAGGCCCTTTATATTTATATTAATTTCGTGACACTCCAACACATTTCCAGCTTCTGCAGTACGCAACATTTCCAAACCCCGGTTATAGGTCACCACTTGCTTTTGTAGAAATATTCCCTTCTTGTCCGTATATATCAGGTTGCAACGTGCTGCCTTCTTTGTCATATGCTTTACTTTCACACTTGTCTTGAATTATCCGATTACACTACACAGAATTTAACGTGAAGCCGGGGGGCAAATTGCAAAAAGTGGAAATACTTGGAAGTGTAAAAAGTTGTGTGGAAAATTTTCATTCCCGCAAGTGTTAGCCTCCACACATTTTGCTGCCCTTAGTTGCCAAAGTTGAACCATACCTTCCTTGTCTCATCGCAGAAAGCATCCCCTCATCACCATTGCAGAACACTTTCATCCTAATTCCAATCCCAAGCGAGAAAAAATGGCTGATGCGCTGTTAGTGCTACTATTCAGGTTGGGTTGCAGACGGTTGTTTCCCTTGCCGCTGATCATGTTAATCTGGTTCGTGAATTCCCAACGGAGCTGGAGAGACTCAACGATTCTGCTGAAATGATCCGAGGCTTCTTGGCCGGTGCTGATGAGGAAATGCATAGCCATGATCCGAAGCTTGTTGGGTACAAAAGTGGCTCAAGCAGCTGGAAGAAGAGGTTTTCAAAGCTGACAATGTGCTGGACGAGCTCAACTATGAAAATCTTCGTCGGAAGGTGAAGTATCAAAATCAACTCACGAAAAAGAAGGTATTCTTCTGCTTTTCATTCTTTAATAAAATTGGTTTTCGTTGGAGGTTGGGTTCAATGATCAGGGAGATCAACACGAACCTTCAAAGGATCCATCGGGATGCCGAAGGTTTGGGACTGGCCTACAAGCACCAAGTTGAAGTAGCATTCGCTACTATAGCAGCTGGAGCCACAACAAGCCGACAGACCGACTCTACTATTGTTCGAAGAGATGTCCTAGGAAGAGACGAGGATGAATCAGAAATAGTTAAGAAGTTGTTGACCGAAACTGAAAGTGTTATTTCAGTTATTCCCATAACTGGCATGGGTGGTTTAGGCAAAACAACTCTAGCTAAAGCCATTTACAAAAATGAGCAAATTGTTGGGCATTTTGACCAAACAATGTGGGTTTGTGTGGCTGAAAAAGTAGATAGAATTGAGGTGGTCTTCAAATGATTCTAGAATCGTTAATAGGAGGAAAGGTTGAAGGGGATCGTAGGGAGGTAATAGTTCAAAAAATTCAGCATGAACTCAAGGAAAAAAGATATTTCCTTGTTCTTGATGATTTGTGGAATGATCAAGAAGTATTGTTGGATGACTTTTTCAGCACTTTGGCGGGACTCAATGCTAAGAAAGGGAGCTGGTGTCTTGTTACCACTCGTCTGCAAGAAGTGGCAACTATTCTGTCTAGACATCCGCCGATCAATTTTACTCGCCATGAGATAGGAAGGCTATGCAATGATGACTGCTGGTCTATCATGAAAAAATGGGCAAATGTGGCGGAAGAAGTACCAAAAGAATTGGAAGACATAAGGAGCAAGTTTTAAGAAGATGTGATGGTCTACCTCTGGCAGCAAAGTTAATCGGAGGTTTGTTATCTAAAAAGAGAAAAGAGGAGTGGCTATCTATTTTGGAGGAGAGTCTCTTGAATGGAGATCAAGGTGGGATTGAGCAAATAATTAAGGTGAGTTTCGATCATCTGTCACCTGCACCGGTTAAGAAATGTTTTGCATATTGCTCAATTTTTGATCAAGATACTAAATTGGAACAAGATCTACTAGTTGAGCATTGGATGGCTGAAGGCTTTCTTCAACCGGATTCCAAAATGAAAGAACGATGGAGAAAATAGGATATGAGTATCTGAGAACTTTGCTGCAAACTTCCTTATGGAAGAAGTTAAAGAGGAGTGGAGAACATGGTATAAAATGCATGATCTTGTGCACGATTTTGCAAAATCAATTTTGAATCGTAACAGCAGCAATCAGGACCGTTACCTTGCGGTATACTCACCCGAAAGAATCAATGAAAAATCATCAGCATCACTTCGCACATTATTTCTGGAGGGTGGCATAGCTGATGAAAAGTTATCTAAGTTCAAATACTTGCATGTCCTAAAATTGTTTGGAGCAGATGTCAAAGAGTTGCCGACCTCCATTGGCAAACTAATACATTTACACTTGACATTTCAGGTTCTTGGATTAGAACTTTGCCAGAATCTCTTTGCAAACTTTATAGCTTTGCAAACACTAAGAATTGACAGGCTTGAAGATGGTTTTCCAAAGAGATGAGCAGTTTGATTAGCTGAGACATCTTCACTGTGATGATTATTATACAAGACGCGAAATCCAAATGCCATCCGGGATTAGACGATGACTTGTCTTCAAACGCTGGAGTTCTTTAAGGTCGTCAAGAGAAGGTCGTGGTATCCAAGAGCTTGGAACCTTGGAAGATCTTAAAGGCTCCTTGGAGATCAGAAATCTTGAATTAGTAAATGGCAAAGATGATGCTGAACTGGCGAACCTATCTAAAAAGCCAAATATGTATCGGCTGGTATTTGAGTGGGGCAATAGGGATCGGGAAAGTAATAATTGTGATGAAGATGTTGGAAGGCCTCCAACCTCACCCAAATTTAAAAGAGTTACAAATTTTGAAGTTCATGGGTGATCAGTTTCCACAATGGTTCATGAATTTGACATTGACATCACTGGCGGAGTTGCGTGTGGAGGATTGCACAAGATGCAGAGAACTCCCTGCACTAGGACAGCTTGCCATTCCTCAAGCGCCTCTATTTGACTAGATTGGAAAACACAACATGCATTGGGCTTTCATTCTACAGTAGCACTATTAGCAGACAAACATTCTTTCCAGCCCTTAAAATTCTCTCTCTTGAAAGCATGAAAAATTTGGAAGAGTGGAAGGACGCACACGAAATGAGGTCAACCGCTGACGTGTTTCCCGTGCTTGAAAAGTTATCTATTAGTGACTGCCCCCAGCTGACCACCATTCCAACTCCAAGTCGTTTCCCAAGTCTTGATGTATTGAACATTAAAAAAAATTGCCATGTTTTGCTGGCAGAAAAGGTTTTGAGCAATATAGCCAATCTCTCGTCCTTGAATTAAGGGGTCGTCAAAGCATCAAGTCTCTAAAATTAGTGAAACGACCAGAGAGCAGCTTGAGAATTAATGGCTGTGACAGTCTACCCACTGACATGCTTGAGCGACTCTGTCTTTTTCCAACTCTTCAGCATGTAAAATTGATGATTGCCAAAAATATAACAACATTTAGAGGAATGAGTTGCGCCGCATGTCTTAAGAGATTGGAAGTCACTTTATGTGAGAATTTACGGGAGTTGCCAGATGATCTCTATCAATTTCAAGCTTTAGAGCACTTGAAGATACGGGGTTGCCCGAGAATTGATTCATTTGGATATCCAAATCCTAAAAATTCATTTGGACAGAAAAGCCTCCTTAAGTCTCTTAAGCAATTTACTGTCGATGATTGCGATGCATTAACAAGATTACCAGTGGAGATGTTCGAGTCCTGTACGTCTCTCCGAAAGCTGAAATTGTTCGATTGCCGCAGTCTGGTCTCCTTTCCCCTTGATTTGCGACGATTCCCTTCTCTCGAGTGCTTCTCATTATACGGGTGTTCCAACTTGATTACTGAGATGCCTAGTGGATTTGGCTATCTTACCAGCTTAAGGGAAGTGTACATTGGTCCCTTCTCAGATGACTCTGTAATCGAATTTGATTGGGCTGGATTAGCATCTTCATCATCACTCCGACACGTGTCTTTAGGTGGGATGTTTGACACGAAATCTCTGCCACATCAGCTTCAAGACTTGACTACCATCACATCACTATCTCTAAAACACTTCGGAGCAATCGAAGCCTTACCAGATTGGCTTGGGAACCTCGTGTCTCTTGAAGACCTAATCCTATCATGGTGCCCAAAGCTTGAATATTTACCCTCCACGGCTGCCATGGAACGCCTCAAATTAAGACGTCTGGAAATTCGTGATTGTCCTCTATTAACCGAAAGATGCACTCCTCAAAGCGGCTCCGAGTGGCCCAAGATCTCTAATATTCCAGAGCTTAAAATTGATTAAAAGTCGTGTGTTCTTCTCTCCTTTTTTCCTTCTATTTTGTCCTGTGTTTCTTTAACTGATTTTGTTCCACCTTTTGTCTTGATTTTTAGTTTTAAGTTAGTTACTATTGCATTGCCATCTCCTATAAAAATAGGTGCAGGTGTTGATTCTTTGTTGCTCTTTTTTGAAAATGTAGTTATTGTCTGCATTTACCTTGTGCATGTTCTCTTTTCTTCTGCATTTTCTCATTTCATCTTAAGTTTCCTCCTTTTTGCTGCTGCTTGCTTGCTTGCTGTTCTTGATGGTGCGTGTGTTCTTCTCTCTTTTTTTCCTTCTATTTTGTCCTGTGTTTCTTTAGCTGTGTTTGTGTTTAATCTATTTTGTTCCATCTTTTGTCTTAGTTTTTAGTTTGTAGTTGGTTACTATTCCATTGCCATTTCCTATAAAAACAAGTGCAGGTGCTGAATCTTTGTTGATCTTGTGAGTCCTCGAAATTTTACTTGTTTTTATAGCACTTATTTAAATTTACTTGCCTTAAATTCTTGTTGTTTTAATGATTGAATCATGATTTTTCTTTTATTATATTATTTAATTTGGTGCATGTTAAGTTTCATAGTACACTAGTGTGATCGACTAGTGAGGTGTGTGCAATAAATTTCACTGCAAACTTTTGATTAATTGCTTCTCATTCTTGGATATTGCTGTTCTTCACCATCTTATTCTATCCGTATTTGTCCCACACTCTTTTTCTCTGTAAATATCTATTCCTCTACTTCTTTTGGAGAAGATTACTCTATCTTTCAATTTATAAACTAATTCTTGTCATTAACAAAGTAGAGTTATGAGCAATTTGAAAGACAACAAAAATTGTGGATTTCATCTGCCTTTTTGAACCATCAAAAGGATGAATAAACATGGTAAAATATACTACTATATATGAACTTGCTGACTGTTTGCCCACAAAATTCACTAACATTGCAAGCGTAAACATGGTATGTTCTTTTTTTTTTTTTTTTTGTTACTGATATTTCCAAACAACATTAAAACCAATGAAACAGCAATTTGGGAAGAACATTACAATTTTTGTTTTTACCGCTGCATTTAATAGATGGATATGTTCTTAATATTCACTGTTATCTCTCTGTAAGCCTCTGCATTATGATTGCCATAAAATTAGCTCAATGTCGATCAAGTTGAAATTGTTTGCAGAGGAACTAGGCTGCTGCTCAAACTATAAATTCTTATCATCCTTTAAAATTTTTAAAATTCAGATACTAGCTACTTTTCTATTTTGTGAATTGGATTGATAATATTATGGCGTTGTAGGCCACAAGTGTCAGTGAAGCAGCAAGCAGTGATAGTGCCGAAAACATTGCGAAAGGCTCGAAAGTGTGCTTAAGGCAAAGTCAGCCTGGAACCTCTAAAGCATCTTATTGCACTTTTCACATTCTCCAACTGCAACATCTAAAGCATCTAAGGCTGTGGTTTCCAATCATTTTTGAAGAAAGATGAGGAGGTATGTGGTTTGGAAATTTCTCCACCCAACTTACTTGTAGTACAAGGGAATTGGTCCAAGTTTGCAAGTATGTTTGAGACATGGAATTGTGCCTAAATGCAGGTTGGTATCTGCGCTAGTAAGTGTTCTTTATGGCTTAATCAATGGAATATAACTTGATTTTTGCTCTTTAGGATTTTGAGTGATAAATTGTTGCACGAGTTACCTGACCAAACCTTTCTATGGCTCATATTTCTACTTAATGTCATAACTGAAGCAGAACTGTGATGTAATATTGTTATTTTTTTTCCAGAATTTGTTTAGGAAGCAGAGTACATGTTTTTTTGGACAAAGAACACCAACGTTCCCATGTTGTTCTTATGAGAATGTCAAGAGGGAGGAGTTATTTTCGCTTATCAGTCAGATTTTGAAGATGGAAGGTAGTTATCTGTGATTTTTCCCACCAGAATGCCATATATTGCTCAGAATGTGGAAATGAAGGTAAAAAATGTTGACTGCATGTCTATTGGCCTGTTTCAATGGCTTTTCTTTTTTGTTTTTTTTAATCTATTTTCTGGAAGTATTTAACAAAATAAATCAAATATTGAACCTTTTCTCCTTGTAGCATGCTGAAAACAGAGTGGCTTGTGCCACGCTTGTAGAAAGTAGTATGGATTGAGAAGAGTTGGAGAAGAGCATGGTAGCTGGTACTGGAGAGCTATCAAGGTACAAGACTTGCTTGAAGAAAACTGGACGGGCTAATACTTTAGTTTCAGAGGTGACAAGATTTGATGGAAAGAAGTTAGACATTGTAGACAGCATTGGTGATCGTTTGGATGACATAAACGAAGCATGCGATTGCAGTGTCAGTCATTCATTTGGATGGAATCAGTTCAAAGTTTTGCTGCTGCAATTGCGGCGGCAAAAATTTCTACATTCTCGTTCAAAGGTTCCCGCCAGATCTTGCAAGGCCTTTGTAAATTGGACTACAGGTTATACCTTTCCACTCAAGAACAAGAGAGACTCATGATACAACTGTGCTAACAGTTAGTCATTACTTTATTTTCAGGAAGAATCACAAGGACAATTTATCAAATTCGATTGACTTTTGCTACCATTACTTCCTTCTGGGTTTGTTAATGCTCTGTTTTTTAGCCTTTCATTTTTGGTTATCTAGTAGATTGGTGATTTTTCCATCCTACTTGCATAAGGACTTGCTCATGATAAAATATTTATAGAAATATCTATTTTAGCATTTTAGACAAATGTCTCATGGGCTATGCTGGAACATGTAAAAAGCAGTGATTTTCAAGCAAAAATGTATGGATGGTGATGTGGTAGACAATTGTTCTCTTAAGGAGTGAAGATCAATCTTCTAGAAAGCAATATGTGACAGAGTAAATGAAGAGGTATGTAGTCTCAGTGGATTAAATTTGAAGGCCTACAATGTTTCTGTTGCTGTTGCCTTAACTTCAAATCAATCACATACAAAAGCTATGCTGTGAATTTAGTATGCGTTTTTCATGGCTTAATCGATGTAATTCTGCTTAATTTTGCTCTTTAGAAATTTTTGTAATACATTCTTCATAAGTTTTGATGGTTCAACGTGGCTAACATGGTGGTGTTTTTTTCCTGAATCTATTTAGGAAGCAGACATCATCTCGTTGGAAAAAGAACAACATGGTTCCCTGTCGTTTTTGTGAGAATGTCAAAAGGAAGAAATTACTGTCACTCGCAGGCAAGTTTCGCAGATGAAGATGGTCATCAATTATAGTTATTTTGCTCATTAATTTGCACTAGCATTGATGGAGGCTTCTCAAACATCATGTAGAAAAACTGAAAGTGTTATGGTTCTGTAGTGTTTCGATTTTTTTTTCTTTATCTATCTTCTGGAAATGTAATTTGGTTAAGAAGAAGAGAAGATTTGATGATGGAAGCTAGATGTTGAAGATAGCAGTAACAGTCATTGGGAAAGCAAAAGCAAAGCATGTAGTGGGATGGCAGAAATTCAAAGATTATGTGCTGCAAGAATATGTATTCACATGCAAGGGTTTCTAAGTCCTCATTCAAAGGTCCCGATGCACATCCCAGATCTGCTACTCTTATGCACTCTGCCTCTGCTAGGTAAACTTGACAAAACTCCTGAATGCTCCGATTGAGTGCATGGTTGACATTCATAAACACTAATCTCTGAAGGGTAGAAACTCATTTAGAGATCAGTCACAGAATTATATATAGCATAGCTTTCCTCTGATATGTATCACTTACTTGAAATGCTGAATTTTTGGCATAGCTTTCCTCATCTTCCCCTCCTTTCGTGTGAAGAATTTGTTCCATTTCCAGTACCTTGCTGCTATTCTGCAATTTGGAGTTATGTTAAAGGTGAGGAGGGTGAGAGGTAAGGTAGTAAACAATCTAGCTATTGCTATACATGTCAAGGACAAGGGTACTTTGAAGTTGGCAGGAAATAAAATGAGAATTGATCAGAAACAATATTCATCAGTAGTTAAGGGAATATTGAAAGGCTTAAACTACAATCAAACTCAATGTGTAAATAAGATATTAAGCTACATTAGTACTATGCTTGACCAGTGAAATGATTTTGAGCTGAACTACATATGAAAGTCACTAGAAATACTTGTGGGATGTCAAACATCTTCTCTTTTAACCTGCTTTACTCTCTGAAATAAGCATTTGCCAAGCATCATTATCATTCAACATATGACTAAGTATATATGCTGCTCATGTTCTTCCTAAGCATGCTAGTTTCGTCAACGATCAAAATGTGTGGGAGCATGATGCTCCAACTTAACTGTTTTTGCTCCTTCTATCCAACCTTAATTGATGGTAAACTCTAAAAACTAATATATCAAGATAACTTCACCAAATGAAAATCTCGTAAGAGAACAATTGGAACAAACCTATTCAGAAAGTCAAATTAATCAGCAGTCACTATTTTACCAGAAAGGAATTGAAAATACCACTAGATTGGCTTACTTCTGTCTCTTTATTATGATAGAAGACACCACATTCTTGACCAACTTAGGAGTTCGATGATTTCCTTCGGCCTAATCTAAAATTCCTTACTAGTTTTGTTCATGTTACCTCCGTTTTGCAGCAATGACACCCCGAGAGGCACACATATATGCGCTGTTTGGTTAGTTGTTGATGGGGTGTTTCTACAAAAACTGTACATATTAATCGTTTGCATCAGCAACAAAATTCAATCGATATTTCTTCATTCAGTGCTCAGAGAAGTGATCTAGCCTTTTAGCCAATTAACAAATTTTGATTTCTTGAACAAAGTATATGAATGTGACAAGCCTGAGACAAAGTATATTTCTTCCCCACTGCCCTAATGCAAATATAATACATAAAATCACAAAACGAAATATAAGGAAAAAAATCCTTTTAGATAAGAAAAAATGCAGCATCCACCAGTAGACATAAGGCAGAAAGAAAGCCAAAACTGGTACAGAGATAACTTGTACAATAGTGCTGACATACTAAGCCAAAAGCTTAGGGACAATCACACACATCAGTTAATATTCGTGGGAGCCACCCCAAGTCAAAGCCGCAATATGACTATGTAACAATCTCATTGAATATTGTCCACGAAATTGGAAAACAAACTTCTTCAAGAAAAAAAAATTGCTACTAATTGTTCAACCAAATGCTATGGTAAACAATGCTGATAAGACTGAAAAAGGAAAAAATAGAGAGAGAGAGAGAGAGAGAGAGATAAAGAAAAGATGGCATGACTCAAGCTGCGCGCTAAAAATGCGAAGAATAAGGTTGGAGAAAAAGAAAAAGAAATCAAAAGAAAGAAAATAAAAGAAAAAGATGAAGAAAGTAAGTACTTGCCTTTGAAAGTATAAGAACTGCAAAATCAAAGCAAATACAATATTGGATTTAAAATCTTAACCTAGAACATTAGTAAATTGCAGAAATAATAAAAACAAAACTATTTTAGATTAAGAAATCAAACCTGCGGCATATGGTTTAGGCACAAAACTGAACTTTATTGGAAGAATTTGAGAGATTAATGGTGAGATGATGAAGGGAGGAATGATTGGTGTGAGAGGTCATTGAGGAAAGTAGGTAAAAATTATCTAGGAACAAAAGAATGGAAGAAGTCTTGACTGTTGAGCTGCTGTATCAGTAGTAATAATTGGGCTAGGTTGCACCTTCCAAGACTCTCGAATATATTACATTTCAATGCATAGTTGTGCTGGTGTTAAATATTTTAGAAAGTTTAACTCATATAACCATTTGAGGTCTGGTGATCATAAAACATTGATGAATGTGCGGGAAGAAGTAAACTACTGATCGAAGTTTTATAAGCAATATATCTACATTTGTTAAGTAGTCAATGTATGAAGCATAGGGAAGAAGAAATTATATTGTAAGAGCAGGGGTGATATAAATATAATATTTACACCCTTGAGGAGTTCTGCACCCATATTTTGTGAATTTCTTTCCAGTATAATATATTCTTCAACATCGCCTAGTCCATCACCATTGTAGCCCAGAATGTCAAAAGCACCAGCACCACCACAAGCACAATCCAGAGGCTGCTCAAGGAAATCTACTTCTCATGTGCTTGTCATCGAAAAGCTGCCTTTGAGTCCTCTGTTTTTTTAATATAAGAGTAGAGGTCTTTTGCCGCTCTTGTATAAGAGTAGAAGTCTTTAGGGTACGCATAAAAGTAGATACAAGCCAGTGCCATTGTTAGTATTAAACGCTAGAATTTTCAATCCAAAGCTATTTTGTTTTCTTCTTTACCGTCCCATACTTCCTTGATCGTTAAGCAAATTTTGACCAAACGCAGCAGATGTCTTTTTTTTTTTCTTTTTGCAGTTCGAATTCAGTTTAGCATATAAACTGCCAATTAGCTTTTATGTTCTCTATTAACCCGTGAATTAGTTTATTTTGTTAGGACCGGGTCAGGAATAGACAAACTCAAGTTAGCACAAAGTAGGCGGTATAACCGACCATATAATAGATAGGCGGTAGATACCAGCCATATAATAATTAGGCGGTAAAACCGACCATATAAAGACGGATAACAAAGCAAATAAAAGACACAGAAGATTTACGTGGTTCGGTCAAATTGACCTACGTCCACGGGCGAGGGAGGAGCAATATTTCTACTATGAAGAAAAATACAAAAGACCGTAGGAAAGTGGTTCCTAGGCCAATAGGCACTTATAAAAGAGTTTAGAAAATATTCCTAAACTCAAAACAAGAGAGCCTAAAATATTTAACTGAATGGGCTAATGACTCAAGAAGCTAATAGCCCATATAACTCTCTTGAGTGGTGCAATTGAAACCTTCATATGAGCCCCTATTTATAGTTGTATTTGGGAGGCTTTCCTTCTGCTTCAGGCGATGTGGGATGAGGAAATTCTGCCACAGTCAAGGATTGCGGCTGAAGAATTGCGACTCAACAAATCTCCACCTTGGCATAATTTTGATCCCACCATCGACAATAGTAAAATGCTCCACCTTCTCCACATAAGCCCCAATGGGCTTAAATCACCAACAATGAACACCAACCAAATCCAAGCACTGCTTGAACTTGTAAACTGGAAGAGGTTTCGTAAACATATCGGCTGGATTGTCCTTAGTATTGATTTTCTGAATAAGGACTTTTCCCTCAGCAATGATATCCCGAATGAAGTGATACTTCACATCAATATGTGTTTCGTCCTCTCATGATACATCTGATCTTTAGTCAAGTGTATGGCACTTTGACTATCACAGTGAATATCAGTAACACCTTGATATAGACTTAGCTCGCTAAATAAACTCTTCAACCACAAGGCTTCTTTGATTGCCTCGGTCACAGCCATATATTCTGCTTCAGTAGTAGACAAAGCTACGACAGGTTGTAGAGTAGCTTTCCAACTAACAGCACAACCGCCAATGCAAAATACATAGCCTGAAAGTGATCTTCTCCTGTCAAGATCCCCAGCGTAGTCTGAGTCTACAAAACCAACCAAAGTGTTATTATTTCTTCCAAACTCCAAACATGCATTTGAAGTACCTCGCAAGTATCTGAGAATCCACTTCACAGCTGCCAATGTGTTTTACCAGGGCAAGACATATATCTGCTAACAACACTGACTGCTTGTGCAATATCTGGACGAGTACAAACCATTGCATACATAATACTGCCGACTGCACTGGAATAAGGAACCCGTGCCATATAATCTTCCTCTTCATCTGATTTTGGTGATTGAGCAGCAGATAGCCGAAAATGGCTAGCAAGAGGAGTAGATACTGGTTTAGCATCTTTCATGCCAAAACGCTCCAAAACTTTCTCAAGGTAATTTTTCTGGGTCAAAAACAACTTCCCTACTCCTCGATCTCGCTTGATATCCATGCCAAGAATTTTCTTAGCTGCTCCCAAATCTTTCATTTCAAATTCACTATTTAACTGCAGTTTCAAAGTGTGAATTTCTGACAAATTCTTGGCAGCAATGAGCATGTCATCAACATAAAGCAGCAAATAAATGAAAGAACCATCATTTAACTTCCGGAAGTAAACACAACTATCATACATGCTCCTCAAATAACCATGACCCAACATAAAGGAATCAAACCTTTTATACCATTGTCTTGGAGACTGCTTCAATCCATATAAGGATTTCTTCAATAAGCAAACATGGTCTTCCTTACCTTCAATTTCAAAACCCTGGGGTTGTTCATATAAATTTGTTCTTCAAGTTCGCCATGTAAGAAAGCTGTCTTAACATCAAGCTGCTCTAACTCCAAATTATACATGGCAACTAAAGCAAGCAAAACACGAATAGAGCTATGTTTAACAACAGGTGAAATATATCATTAAAATCAACACCTTGTACCTGACTATAGCCCTTTGCAACTAATCGTGCTTTATACCTTGCATCTTCAACCCCTGGAATACCTTCTTCTTCTTGAAGACCCACTTGCAACCAACAATTTTCTTAGCTGACGGCGGCTTTACAAGAACCCAAGTTTCATTACGATGAAGAGATTCAATTTCTTCATTCATCGCAATCAACCACTTTGCAGAATCATCACAAGAAACTGCTTCTGAATAGGTGGAAGGCTCACCAACTGCATCAGTTTCTTCTGCAACAGACAAAGCATATGCAACTAAATTTGCATATCTTTGTGGTGGTCGAATGTCTCTCCTTTGTCTATCTCTGGCTATGGAATATTCCTCTTCTTCTGAACTATCTTCAACAGTAGATTCAGGTGCATCTACTGGCATTTGTTGAATAGAAGATTTGGTCTGAGAAGGACCAGAACTGCCAATATCAAGCTCCACCTGCTTCTGTGTACTATCAGTAGTA